AAAAAAAAAAAAAAAAAAAAAAAAACCCACCACTGTCTGGACATGCAAAAGTTACGATGTCAATCAACACAAATTCTATCCTAGCGGATCGTGTCCCTGCTATTTGTTCCAAGAGAACAGATTATGACATATTCCGTCTGGATTTGGAACTTTTGATTGACAATGGCATTCTAATCGCCTTGCCAGCGGACTCTGTCCGCCGAAACTCTGCAAATAGCTGGTACCTTTGTTATCGTTCAAGTTTGCACCACCCCAAGATTTGTAAGCCACTTATCCAATGGACTGGTTCGACTCGTCTAGTGAAGAATCCAAGGAGCACATCAACACTTAGACTCTAAATGTGGAGCAGGAGGTTGCAGTGAACTATCACAACTACATCTTGTGTGGACTAATCATCGCGCTAGTACTGCTTTATATTTTGGTTTGGTGATGCGAATTGAACCATAGGACTCAGAAAAGGCTACAAGCAGAGGCACAAGAACTCAAAGGGGATACATCTACAACTCCAGGACAACGTCTCTGAGGCAGCCGGTATACAAAAGGAGATTTGAGCGGTTCCAGCAGATGGACCCTTACCATGAGGTCCAGGTGCAGAGAACGGGCGCCAGACTCAGGATAGCAGCAAAGATGGAGAACGTTTTCATCAAAATCGAGAAACTTTGGGGTGAAGACAACTTTCAAACATGGAAGTTTCAGGTGACGATCTTGCTTAAGGATAAGGAAGCCTTCAGCATTGTCGAAGGAAGGCAAGCGAGATCATCAACGAATACTCGACAGGTGTTAGGAGAACCAAGGAAGGAAAACCATCTAAAAATGAGCTTTCAACTAGATTAACTGGTCGTCATTTTCCCTCTCTGATCTCAGAAAATGAGAAGAAAAAAATGTTACGCATCAGTGTCATGTATATGCGCATACTAAAATCAAGGCAACTAAAAGGAAGGAGACTAGGTGTGAGTGTCTTCAATGCCAAAAATCCCTATGTGTTGTGCCCTGCTTTGAAATTTACTACACAAACGAAAAGTTCTAGCATAGTCGGAAGCATCAGTTGGTCATAATAGTTCTTCAACCTACACTGAATTGTAAATCCTCAAGTTTTATTCTGTCTTTCCTTTGTGTTAATATTTATACATTAAAATGTGTCAGTGACAATTACTTAAATTGTGTGTTAGCACCCCTAATTGCTTCCCGCCTCCTTCTAAAATGAGGAAGCTTCCAAACCTCTCTCCGCGCAGCGTCACAATCGAACATCGGATTGCGAGAGAGAAGGACCAGCCATTTTTGGATTATTCTACATTTAGTTAAGATTTTCTTACAGTTAAAATCAGCTTAAAAAGACATATAAAATGTCTATTAGTGTAACATGTACAAAATTTTACTTTTCATTTTTACCTCATTTATTTTTATTTGCATGTTTCTTTTATTCTAACTAATAGCATACCTCCCCAAAAGTGTTTGTAGAATTCTAAGATTATGTTAAGAAACATTTTTAAAAAGACCAACATGTAGGTCTAATCAATCAGGTCCATTCAAGAAAGACAACCCCTAAATCAAACCAAAAATTTGATTCCAGAAAAGATAACATCAATAATTCATCTATAAATGTTATGACAAATCAAGCACCCAATGCAGTTCCACGTACTGACAAATCGTGTCATCCTTGAAGCAATGTCAACATTGCATTTTCTACTAGACCTCTGAAAAAGCGGGCGTAAGTAGAATGTTTTGAAGAAATTGTACCCGTAAGTCACATTCCTTCAGCGGACAGCCCGGATTCAGGGGAACCACAAACTAAGAAGCACCGAAAGCAAAAGTATCGGAAAGAGTGGGAGTTGAATGCACAGTTTGCAAGATGGATCAGTTCAGTAGACAGTAGTCCCTTCAAAGCATTTTGCAGACTTTGCGAGGAAACTTTCAATGCTGAAACCAAATCTCTTAAAGTGCATAAGAGGAGCTGTAAGCATTTACTAAATGAGGGAATGCTGCTCTCCGTTTGTCAAAGACCCGATCCTTCAGAGGAGGACCCAGAAGTAGAACCAACCCATGACAGGGCAGTGAAAAATCTCTGATCATCTCATTGACTTAATGAAGGATTGCTTTCCAGACTCAAGAATTTGCCAAGATGTTCATCTGAAAAGAACAAAACTAGCCGGTGTAATCAGGAGTGTCCTTGCACCTTGTCATAGCCGTAGCTTGGCCTTAGCTGAACAGTTCAACACCAACAAATTTTCTCTAATAGCTGATGAGTCCACTGACATTAGTTGCAATCAAAATATTTGCATTGGTGTTCGATATTTCAACGAACACTGTCGCCGGATTGTTAGTAGCTTCTGGGATCTTTGGAGAGTGATCACTGAAGATCGCCCTGAGGTTGCCTTCGAGGGAGCGACAGCTAACCATCTTTATAACACGATCATGTCCTCTTTTCGCTCTGAAAAAGTCAATCTTGAAAACCTGATTGGCTTTGGCTTAGATGGCTGTAAAACAATGCAAGGAGAGCACAATTCTGTGTCATCAAGGCTCCAAGCAAACTTTCCTGGAATAAGCAACTTGAAATGTATCTGCCACTCCCTAGCCATTTGTAGTAATGAAGCAGTTCAAGTTTTACATTGTTAGATTAGCTGATAATAGATTAGATGGTAGATTGATATGTGCCCAGTCTCACTGCGACTGTAACTCTCTGTTACTCTCTCAACAGCCGCCATGGTTGCACACTCCCTACACGGCCAGCTAATGCTGTGCGCTTGCTTTTAGAATAAAGTAAAGATTCATTAATAAAGTGAAGTAAAGTGCAACCTATATTTTATTATTTGATTGACGGTGTATCTTCCCTCTGCAAATAACTCAACAAATTGCAACAGGTTTCCTTGCAGATTTTCAGTCATGTTCTACGTGTAATCTTGACTACATGTAATTGTGATAAGAAATTATACATCATAATCCAGAGAATCATCATCAAAGAATAAAGAGGCAAGAGAATAAAAAATGACTTTTGGGGAAAAAATGACTGGTGAGAGGAAAATAATGTTGTGACCAATTGACAACAGCGGATGTTCAGTCAACAAGCCCTTCAGGAGAAGTTCTGGTTTCTTGCAAGAGGGAGTTTAACTGCCAAAGTAGGATTGATTGCAATGAATTGCAGCTACATTGGAATGTTGTGTAGATTGCGTTACTTTTAACTAAAGGGGTCTCTTTTTTCATGTTTATTTCTACAAATAAATTGGAACAAGTGGCAATTGGAGATATCTGGCAATCCAAAGATACAAGAAATACTGTTCAGTGCGAGGCTGCAACACTAAGCAGTCGATAAAAAGTGAAGCAGGTGAATCAGTGCGATTTTATTCATTTCCAAAAGACGAGCACTTCAGAAAATTGTGGATAAGATTCTGCGACAGCCCAAGAGCAATTTCAAAAAAACAGGTATGTTACTCATGAGTCATTATCATGACACACCGCAGCATCATATACCTACATATTTGTAAGCGAATGTGGCCAACCTTTCCCCCACTCACCATCTGAATCTCAAGTACCAAGATAATATCGCATGGTTGTTTTCCCAAGTCATTTATTGCAACTAGCTTTCTCAGATCTTAATTTGCTTATTTGATCTAAACACTTTCTACTATCATTTCCTGCTGTATGATATTTGTACCGAAGTTTTACTCGGTTATGTCTCATTATGGTGCGTTTGGTTTCTTGAATATGGGTGGCTCTTAGTCAAAAGAAACCGAAAAATCGACGGAGACAATAGTGTAAAAATGTCTACGACAGAACAAAATACAATCTTCACAACTGCAGGCTCTAGCATGAATACAAATTTTAACCTTCTCACAACTCCTATTGTAACAACCACCAATCCCACATTTAGTAATTCACATATTTCTGCCAACCTCTCAGATTCGACTGAACTTCAGAAAACTCTATCTTCTATTAGAACCCCTGTGATTTCTCCTTCAATTTTCACTGGTTTCGAAGATGATGAGAATTTTTTCGTTGCATTAGAGTCGGCTGCTGCAGTAAATTCATAGTCACTTGCCAATGTTCCTTTGTTTGTTAAGAAGTATTTTATATCAGAAATCTGCAATAATGTCTAAACTTTTGTGATACATTTTCCTATTTGTAATAAACCTCTTGTTGTCGTGATTAACTACCTTTTTTCTGAAATTATGTGTTTCAGAAAAGGGATGAAATTGCTGTAACCTGTATTATCTAATGGATGCCGGACAACACTGGAGGACAAACGAACGCATTTTACATGATCTCAACTCAGAGCACTTCTCTTGCCTACCTGGAAATATTCATCAAGAAATCTTTCGATCATCAGAATACAACTTTTTGTGACCAATTAATCTTAAGTCAAATTAATCAGAGATCATTAACTTTTTCCCAGGCTAAATGCTCATTCCTCTTGATGTCCCACATCCATCAGCATAAATGTTACCCTTTTGAATAGCACCTTCAATTGTAAATCCTCAAAGGCTCCTGTCACCCAAACCTACCAGCCGAGTTTTTTTTTCTTCTTGCTTTCCCAGTTGAAACTTTTTCAATGTTAGTGGTTCGAAGTGCGGACGCACTTCTTACTAAGTGAGGGGGATGTACAGCACCGCGATCACTTTCAAAATTCCCGCTCGGAGGGAGGGGTAATAGGAGCAAGAGGGGATCGAGTGCGGCCATGTTGGGCCTAGTGCGATTTTTCACTAGTCAGTCGGGTCTGAGCAGTCGTGTAGACCCGCGCTCACCGATTTCTTTTTTTTTCGTTTTGATTCTCTTTTAGTTCAGTTTTGCTCAGTTATCGAGTTTGATTTTCTTTATTTTTTGTGAATACACGCACTTGTGTTCGAACTCCGTTTGTTTCTTTCTTTTCGCCTTTTTGCTCTCCCATCGCCGTAGTTACAGCAAAGCCATACAATACCGCGATACCCATGTCCCGACAGTGTCAAATAGTATATTTGATTTAATTTGTACTGAAGAAACCACAAGGGGAATGTTGGAGAAACTGACGTCTACATCCCAACCCAAGTCTATGGCAGTACAAGTCCAAAAACGGAGGCGGCTGTTGGAGCTGAAACTCAGTGAAAATCTAGACCCAGCACCCTTCTTTCTCGATTTTTAAAAATGTATTAACGATTTGTTGAATTGCAGAATCAAAATAAATGAAACTGAAAACTTGTCAAATCTATTAGCCGCACTACCTCCCAAATACGCTCATTTAAACGATGTAATTGATTCTATTACCACTGACAAATGTGAGTACATCAAGCAAAAAGTCACCAACAATTATCAAAGTTACGGTAAAGATTCAGTGGACAAGGCATCGATTAATGCCTACAAAGTCAATGGTCAAAAGTCTAATGAGTCAAAGAGCTTTAATCCTAATCAGTTGAAACAACATTAGCAAACTTCTCAAAACTACTCAAGAGGTTGTCGCTATCATTCAAATTCATATACTACCAAAATTCTTATTCTGGGTATCAACGGTGCAACGATCAATCTGATGAATTTAAGTTTCGCATGTCAAAGTGAGATTTCTTGTGATCGCAGACTTTGATAAAGTTGCGTATGCAGTAGTGCGGCATGGCCAGCTCAGGTTATTGGGCTGTACCTATCGTTTACACCACGTAAGAATGACCATTTGAAACTTTCAAGACTACGGTTGAAATGTTCCTTGCGTTCGAAGGGAAACGTTTCCGGGTGAAGCTGCGATGTTTTGCGTTTAACAAGCGGTCAATGAGGTAGAGAGTTTGGTCTTTTCAATCTGAGGAGTGTAGCCGACTTCACGTCTGGAAGAAGTAACCATGTTCGAAGGCTGCAGAGACGGTTTAGAACAAGGACTTAAGCTCACCGACAATTATTTCACATGGCACATCAAAGCAAAAGCCTTGATGGAAAAAAAGGGCTGCTGGGAGGCCATCGATGCAGGATTCAGATGAGAGGACCTGGCAGAAAGATAGCCTCCCTGTGAGAAGAAGAGGAATCCCCATGTTTGATCCCTCATCCTGCCATCTGTAAGTGACTATTCATTGATTGATTTCAACAAGAATCCGGAACCCTGATGAAGAATCTCATTGTGATGATCCCCGCGCTGATTACGGCAGAAGATGCAAAAGGCCTGACATGCAAAAAGATCAACTGACAGCCTACATCAAAGGGTTGATAAATAGTACTGTGTAAGTTGATAAAAAGGCAAGGGATCTGATTGTGGAGCAAAAGTTCAAAAAGCCTGCGACCACTGGTGGGCAGAACGTCAGTACCCGCTCTGCTCCAGAAAATGCATTTACTACTTACAAAGGACTTGCAGAATCTTTGAAAGCAACTGTCAAAAAGCTGCAATAAGATGTCAGGATAAAACGTCAACGCATACCATCTGTGCGCAGTCGATTACGTGCTTGTCTTAGATTTTCATCACCGAGGTCCGACGCCATAAGTGCTCGAGTGATCCTAATTAGTTGGGCGGTTGAGTTTTATGTTTTGTGGGATCTGTGTCGTCTCTGAGTGTTTGTGTTTAGATTTATTTTTTGCAATAAGGTGTATCACATTGAGTTAGAGTGTGATCATTTCAAGAGGTATGCTACACCCCACAAGCTAGCAAGCTCGAAGACCCGGACCAACACTTTTTTCCCCTGGGTCTATTACAATAACATTACTATCACAACTGATACTGTCGCCTTACATCATTCTTTCATTTTGTTGACACTGAAGCTTGCTCCAAAATGCATTCGTGAATGAATACTATCCAAACCATAGTCCAGTTTTAAAAATGTTTCTGGTAATTTTTATGCTACAAATTCAAATTTCAAAAAAACAAAACATTTTGCGGCTCCTTACAAATCCATTTTTATAACTTTTGTTCCCTCCTGTACTCCAATTACTAGGAACTATGTTGTAGATAACACTTTCAATTTGAAAACTAAAAGACCAAGCAAGAAAATATTTATAAATTCAAGGTAACACAATACTTTCTCACTAGGTAGATCACAGTTCACCGATTTCACCTTGACATCACTGAGGCGTGTTCAAAAATTCTGATGCCATCGCCAGAAACTCAGCAGGTTTTTCTGCATGAGGCCAGTGTCCTGAGTCAACAGATTTGATTACAGCTTTTGGAAAAAGCATCTTTATGCCTTCATGGTCCTTCGGCCTGGAACAAGTAATAATAGTCCAATCAATTTCCACGAGCCGTGAATATTCACAAAATTGGTCAACATTACACATAAGGGTGGTGGAGACAGGGGTACACAATCAATGAGGAATTGACATAAGAAGATTCAATTCATCATGGAAGAATTCTTACAACACATCCATAAGATTGACAATAAAAATCAAATATTAAGTTAAAAAGAAAAAAAAATATCATAAAAAGGTGCAATTAAAATTAAATAAATTATAGATTATAGATATACATACAACATGGGACACTTAACCTGAAAATTCTTCTTCTTCTTGTTATTTTAGTGGCTTTTACTCCACGCCGAATGGCCATCTAGAGACATTTGGTATAATTTTTTGGAGTAGGGTTAGGAATATTTGTGGTGGTTGTTTTGAAGGAAAAAAGGGTAAGATCTATAAGACCAACACCATTTTCACATCCTGAGACCCTTCAGGACGACTTCCTATACCATAGTTAGACTGGGTCTTGGAAAACATTCAATGGGATGTACTAGGTATTTTGAAGTTAGAGAGAAAGTTGAGTAAAGGATAAACTAATCACTCCCTGAGTGGCTATTATATTCTTTTCTTTTTTATTAACCTGAAAATTTACATGTCAAAAATTTCCCTCTCCTGCTTGCCTCACCATACATCCTTCTTGCAACCTAAGGACATTCTTTTTCCCAACAAAGTGCAGCCGCTCACCCTTTCTTGTACTTTTCCTACTCACAAGTCTCTTTCTTACACCACTCCATCCACTTTGCAGCCATGGCTCACCTTTCAAACCTCTTCCTGTTCTGACAAAGCAGCACACAGCATGGAGATCCTTCCTACATCCTCTGGGGGACTTCATGGCGAATTTTCCAAGCCTTTAGGGAAATGGGACAAGGTGATAAATGATAGCTGAACTTCTGTGAGCACCTGAATTTTCTGGAAGTTATAACTTTTATAGAATGGAACGAAGCAGACATGGCCAAGACTGAGCTATAATTAAGCTCTGGGAAACCTATTAATGTGCCGCTACTCCAAATAATCGAGTAAAGAACACGCCAACAATAAGGGTACAGATCCAAAAAACGCAGAGAACAAAAAGTAGCGGTAAAGGAGCTACCTTGATTGTAGCATAGAAACGTACATTGGCCTCTGAGAAACAAGAGGTAATGGCAGGGCAGCCACCTCGATCGTGACTTGGAAATGTAGAATGGCGTACAGTCACTGAGAATGATGATACAGAAAGGCACAGACACTTCTTAACATCGTCCGTAACGCAACTTTGCAGCGACCTTCATCCAACCAGAATTGTTTGTTGTGATTTAGGAAAGCGCATTTCAAAGCTCATTGCCATATTTTGTTTGGACCTTCATTGCAAAAATGCACCTAAATTAGTAATCACTTTTAGGAATTAGGATGACTTTGACTTACTGGACATAGTTTGATTTTAAACCAGTGATGAACAAAGTTGGACCATGATACCGTAAACTTTCATCCACAGGGAATTTGATAATATTTTCATCTAGATTTCTTTTTATGACATCCACATTTGCTCTCCACTTGTAGTTTCCATTTTCGTCTTCGTATAATTGAGTGAGCACAAATTGCCTCATTGCAAGGTCCTAAAAACAGTTCAAAAAGACAATTTAAATTTTTTGGGTTCATGGCAAGTTTCATATTTTTTTTTCTCCACTTTTAACTTTTTACTTTTTAAGGGCCTAGAATTAATCCTAACAGTAACTTTCTTACTGGGTGTCAGACATAATTTTCACCTCATTTCATTGATCCTCTTCTGAACAACAAAATACTTATAACTTACTGTCAAAGGAAGAATTAGGTATTGCGCTTGTAAATGTTTGATTTAAAACATTTTTTCATGAGCCTTCTGAAATGTTTCAAAACTAAATTTTACTTGGATTGCTTCGCTGCAGAATGAACTGACAAAACCTGATGCCTCAGCTTATGCAACTGACAAAACTGAAGTACTGTATCAGAATAATCATATCAAATGTATAAAGTGAATTGAGGAATGCAGTATACAAATAAACTTACAGATATTGTGGAAGACAACTGGCGATCAGCAATCAGTCTTGCTTTTGGTAACGAAACCTTAGGCTCTATTTTGACATTTTGTAAAGCGTGTACAACCTTGACTACATTAGAAAACTCTGAGCTTATTCCAAACGGTGATATGTCGAGGACAATAAGGGATTCTACAGCATCTGGCTGGAAAGAAAGAAATGAGAAATTGAAGATCTGATAGTGATCATCAACCTATTATTCCCCCCCCCCCCTGATTCGTGACACGGAAAATATACTTTTGATGAGTAGCCTGCAACAGTGTTAAGAATTTCTTTCATATTATCTGCGGTGCTCAAAAAAAAAAACAAAAGTTTAGTGATACATTTTCCTGCTGGGACCATAAGCCATGAGCCATGAGGCCATGGACCAGATAATCTCAATTTACACTGCGGTTTTGCTAGAAAGACATGAATGTTGGCTTTGATTTTGAGGAAAATACGCAATTTTTAGGCTACTGGCCGCCAGCCTTCTCATTTTTTGTGTCCTTCTCATTTTTACACTTGAAAAATTGCGTGATCCTAAAGTTTTTGCAAAATTTTACCAAGGAAAGTTGATACAAGTTTGCAATCAGAATCATTTTGCTAAAACAAAGAGCTTTAAATGGCTCTGGCATGATTCAGCAAGGCAGTAGCAACTGTAATTTTGATACTAAGAAAAGATATTCATACTTGAGACCAATGCAAGACTTAAAACTCACAAAATTTAGAGCCAGATTCATTGCTGTCCTGCCTCCCATGCTGTGGCCAATAACAGCAGCTTTCTTAATTTCAAGGTCCTTCATCAACGCGATGACATCTCCAGTCATGTGATCATATGACATGTCATCTGAGAATGGACTGGCTCCATGATTTCGGGCATCTACATTTACAATCTGCGAAAAAACCAAGGTATACAGAAATGTAACGTAACTTTTTCCTCAAGAGAAATGAAACAAAGTAGCAATATTACGACAGAAATGTGATAAATATTCAATGAATTGCCAAGATGATTACTTTAATATAACGGTGTCCTTCTTTAAGTGTTTGGCCAATAATAATAATTTGTACAAAAAGGAAAATTTTAGCGACCAAAATTATTTCATTAGAGCAACACTGAGATGTAAGAAAGAGAGGCCGGTTTGCATCGCTCCTAAGCCTAACAAGCAGTAGGAACAAAAAACAAATTAACAAGACTATCATATTATTTGTATGCAGGAGAAAATTCCGCTAATTTAGCCTCAATTTTTACATTTTTTCCTCATATTTAGCATGAGCCTCATTCAGTGGCCTGTCAGCCTTGCTGACCTTGGTTACCAGCTGGTAACCCTTACGAATAACGCAGAAAAGCACAAAACTGACTTCAAACACAGAGAAACTCATAAAAAAAAGGCACAACTAGGGTTGGGCAGCAGCAAATGTGAGGCAAACAGCAGGTTAAATCACAGTAAACATAAGGCGCGTGTGGTCATATGGCAACTTTATAAACTTACCTATGACTTTTCGTCTTAACATTGTGAGTTCCATCATTGTAAGTGTATTTCATGATGATCAAAAAATACATTTTTAAGGAAGCTAAAAGAAGCACATGCATACTCTTCTTCTGCTTAAGAATCCAACAGTGATGAAATGCCCAGTCCAACTGGATTCATATTAGTCAAAGCAGGAAGTTAGACACATGAGGAAAAAAGACCAATGAGAACTGAATATTGGAGAATTGGAACCTGTCTTTCATTGTCCAGGGAAAAAAACGGACCAAAGAATTGAATAGAGAAGAATGGGACCCTGTTTCAAACTTCCCGCCGGGGCAGAAATAAAAGCAAAGGCAACGGACAATTTTGTGTTTTGAGTGTTCTGTATCAGAAAAACATGCCTTCATTTCACTTATCTCCTTATCTTGATTTTTAACAAAGTATCCTGGAGTATGATTACTTTTAGCGTTAGATACAGATAAAAGATTAAACATCATTATACTTTGTCAATAAACCTCATTTCCTTTATAAGATATGAGGAACAACACCAAAAATCTTCAAGTGGGTGTACCGTTATCTCTTTCTCTTCATATTAAGGTTCTCTCACAGAGAGCTTTTTCATTTAAAAGCAACATAAAAATACTTGTTTCCCGTGAAACTTTCAAAAATTCAAGAGAAAACATCACGAAATTTAAATGACTTTGTACAATTTAATCAGAAAGTACAGCAAAGGGAAAATCTTCTTACCTTTCTATTCGTTTTGTTGTACAAGGCTTTGGAGATTGAATTCCAGTTACTTTTTGATCCAAGTAGTCCATGTAAAATGATGACAGGAGTAGAGTTGGTGATTATTGGATCAGTGGACTCATATGAAGTGTAGGCTAGTTTGACTGGCTTGGCCCTGAAACCATACAGTACATATTTTATTACAGTGCTCAGGAGAAAGAGGAAAAAGCTGATCTTTCTAATTATTGAGCAGTTGACTAAAAATAAATTTATCATCCTTGGGCTTGTATAATCTCTTCAACAATTGCTCACTAAACGTACGTATGCATTTGAGCTATTTAAACTACTTAATTATTTCACTAATACCAAATTTTATGAATTAACTCCAGTTCTTCTTCCAACGAGTAAACCACCACTCCGAAAGGTTCTGAGCTGATGAGTTGAGCATTTAGCCAACATGAAAGTCACTGGGTGAATAACTTTATTTCAGCACAGCTCAAGAGGACTTTAAGTAGCAAAGAAAAATCTTGACATTTCAAAACTTATAGGTGAGTGCTCTACCTAACAGAGAGAAGTGATGGCAATTCTTGGACTGAGAATCGATTTTTCAGAATCGATCTGAATTGGCCAAGCAGAATCGATCCGATTCAAAGTTTGGTTCCAAAGAATCAATCCAATTCAAAAATCGGGTCCAATGAATCAATCTTATGAAAAAAGATCCAACCATTTAATCTTTCCTGCCGATCTGAACTTTCAAAATTAACCAATTCAACATGCTTAAATTGTCATGTGACAATCCTGAATCGATTCAAAGTCGTCCTGTGATGATCTTATATCAATTTTGCAAACAAACGAATAATGAATATAAATAATTTGTTCGATAACAGTTGATTACTGAATAGCCATTAGTGTGTGGAGATTTTTCATTTGAAATCGGTAACGTTTTTTGACTTCATGGAGCTTCTGACGATTTCCCTGCATAATAGTCGTAACGAGTATTTTCTTCCATGGAATCATCATATGTCAAACCGATCTTCAAAACTACATTGAGACATAGGGAAAAATTGAATGGGATTGGATCTTTCATGAGTGAAAAGGACAGGGTTGCCAGCCAAATTATTTTTTTCCATTCCCTGACGTTTCCCTGACTTTCCAATATTTCTCCCTGACTTTTAAGTATGGATCTGACGCAGTCTGTTAAAGTGAAATTTATCCAGTTGATCCCACAACGCGAGCCCGAGACCGCCCGCGCCTAATTCCACGAAAAATCAGAAAAATCCCTGACCAACATCGAAATTCCCTGACTTTTCCCGGTTGATTTTTTTTCCCTGACTTTTCCCGGTTTTCCCGGTCGCTGGCAACCCTGAAAGGACATCAGCATGTCCAAAATGTAACTGTTGAAAATCAAGCCTACCCTCCTGCACAGTACCAAGCCAAATTTGCTGATTGAAACCTGAAAATTACAGAAATTTGGAATCGATTCTAGCGATCCGATTCTTAGAGTTCCTGCCGATTCTACATGGATCGTCACGTGATAAAGATCGATCGTTTGCCGATCCAATCTTCGTTGTATACAGGCCAAAAGAGCTGAAAAGAATCGGGGCTCGTAGGAAGGAAAATAAGGAGGATTTTGTGCAATTAGCTCTCAGGAAATGTTGATTAAGAATCATCTTCATCTTCAATCAAGCTATCGACAAGGGCCTGTGAAAACTGCAAAATTGGGATAATTAGATACGGATTCTTTCAATCCAATTCCAGGTAAAAAGAATTGATCCACACGAAAGATCGGCATGAATGAATGGATTCGGTCTTTCAGAACTGGGGAAAGAAAAGAAGAGACCAAAGTCACATCAGTCTAGATGCATCAATCATCAGTTGGCCTATTGGTTAGCATGTAAATATTATTAAATGGTGAAATTTTTGGATGTGACATTTTTCTCTTCTTACCTTCCCTTAGTTCTAGTGTTTGGTGACCTTTTCGAGGATCAATCCAAGAATCGCCATCACTAACAGGGAGAATTTTAAGGCTAGTGCAAATGCCGTACTTGATACTAGCACAAAATTCTCTACAAAGGGCTCTCTCATTTACTTTCATCTTAAGAATAAAAAAAACGCATTGCTACATCCGTGTGAAGTACCTACACCTTGATTTAGACAGAGGGTCATAGAAACATACAGAGTTGCATTCTAGAAAGAAATGAGTTGGAAGAAGTTTTAACTTAAGCAAGTTGTAAATCATCTCCGGTTAAAAATTCACTGTGAAGAATAATATTAAGGCCATGGAAATGGCCGTTGAAATTTATCCTTGAGATTGAATCAGACGGACGAATAAAGCTTCACACTTCTTTTAATGGCCATTGTTTTTTAAGCGAATTGCGGCATTTCTGCCAACCTCCTTCCACCTGACTTTTCCCTTCGGAAAACAAGATAAATTCGCATTTCGAATGCACATCCGAACAAATTATTTCTCTGCTGTAAGAAATAAGATGTTGGAGAAACATACCATAAAATGAATGAGATTGCCAGTATACATACATTAATTTCAGTACTTATGATTAGTTAAAAAATGATGGTTAAGTAGTTTAAAACGAACCCATGGATTGAGTCTTTAGAGGAGGAAGTTGAGGCGGAGATAGCGGTCCTTGAATGGGTTAAGATTCTACTACATACCAGCAGCTGTTTCCAATTTGTGAACTGCCTGATGTGAAAAAACAATTTACTCTGCTGAGGAAAAATTGGGAACAAACTTTTACCGATCATATTCAGAGTATTAATCACGGAAATTTTGATACTATGTGATTCAATTTCATGCTTGGCCTGTTCAATTCGCGAATTTCACGTGGTAAAGGTAAAGTGGTCGAGTCGGTAAATCTTGAGTGCGCTCAACCTGAAGGTCACATATCTGTTATAATTCATCACGAGAAATTATCACCAAATCACACTATGATATCGAAATTGCTGAAAGTTCGGTTGCCAAAGTTAGAGACATGAAAAAAAAATTTAAAAGTCAAATACTGAAGACGAATCTCGACCATGAATCTCGAGCTCGACGCATGGCGAAATAAGGTTATGGTAATAGAACCACCACGTCCGCAGCCAAAGGGTGCGTTCTAGAATTCATCCTTGGATTGAATCCAAAAAACGGAGACGAACGGAGATGACGTAGGTCATGACGTCACGGATGGAGTCGGATGGATCGGCAAACACAGAATCCCAGAGAACGCTGGGACATGGACGAAGATATTACATTAGGACCTTTCTCTGGTGTGCGAGATCCGAGCGTCAGCGCGATCTGGCAGAAGCACTTTTGAGTTATTTAGAGGAGCTACTTTCAGAATATGTCCCATAGATACCGCTAGTAGTGAGAGGTACTTTTTACGAAACCGCGTCGTTATAGGTTTGAAATTTCCAACGAATTGCCCGTCGCCATTGCACTAGTATGGAATGATTTCCGTAACCCTTGCGCGGGGGAGCGCTGCAGTCGCGGGCGGGTGACTGATTCGCGGGGGGAGACATTCTGGCGGGGGGGCGTATGTGAATCGCGCGCGGGCACTACTGTTGTGCGCGAGGGTGACTGATCCGGGGGAGGGGGCCATTGTTTCGATTCATCGAAGAATCGATACACTACAGTGTTGCCAAGCCTATACACCAAATTTTCATGTCTATGGTTTTGAAATGGACATTACAAGTTCGAGTTTGTTCTGAAGATGGAAGAAGAANGACATATTCTGAAAGTAGCTCCTCTAAATAACTCAAAAGTGCTTCTGCCAGATCGCGCTGACGCTCGGATCTCGCACACCAGAGAAAGGTCCTAATGTAATATCTTCGTCCATGCACGGGGCCTTATGGGACTGAGTCATCCTAATACGTTAGTATATATTCATCCATGGCTGGGATGAATGCAGTTGTTTTTGTTTGTGTTTGAGGTTATGGCATGTTACCTGTTGTGATACGAGCGTCGAGCGTAAAAATATACTATCGAATTTTTTTTTCTAGAAACCATGGACTTGCTTCCTTTTTTTGATTCGAGTTCGTCCTCTGAATCTTCTTCCTCCTCTGAATCAGAAGAAGATGACTATGTTGTCATTTTTAGGCGGCCACACGCCAAAATTCAGGGCTACATACCGACTGTTGTTGACACTTACTGCCTATCAGATTTCAGGTCCCATTTTAGGATCAGTCGAACTTCTGTTGAGGTACTAACTGCTTCTTTACTTGCTACATTTATGGGTTTAATAATCTAAGGTTTCAGTCGAACAGGTGAGCGTTCATAGCCCATCCACCAGCTGTTCGCATCGAGCAGAGGATCAAAATGGATTGACTGCATAAATGCGCACTATTTTGTGCAGTTGTTTCTTCACGGTCAAGAGCTTTTAATTTGTGCTGAGCACCTACTTTGAGCATCTTCTCGTTTTTCTGTTAATTCATTTTGACCGTAAGTATGACCTGGACAGAAGCTCAATAACGACCACTGTAGACCATTTCAACACTGCAACAACGTGTAATAGAAAATTATCTGTTGAGTCGCAACTGTGCGTCATTTTTGAAAAGCACCTGGTAGTAGATGGATGACTGAGTCATGTAACAGGTATGAGTCCTCGGGCATTAATTTTGTAATAACAATTGTGTATCCTGGCAGAATCTGGGAAATCCACAAAAGACATCAACTAAGTGTCTCATAATCATACGAGCAGATAGTAATACTTTTTCCAATTGTGTTTTTGCAGATGATTGTAAATGTGCTGGAACACCAATATGTTGTAGTGCGACGGCGGCCTCCCTTTCCCCTGCGACATGCAGTTCTCATGACTTTGTGGACACTGGCCAACCAAGAGAGCTTTCGAGGGGTTGGTGACCGGTTCGGAATTTCAAAGGGCAATTGTCACAGTATCTTTATCACTGTGTGCCAGTTATTATGTAATAAAGTGCAGTTGTGGATTCGATGGCCAGCACCAGGTTATGAAAGGGTACGCATCCTGCAAGGTTTCGCCAACTTGCGTAGAGTCGTAATCATTGGAACATTTGCTATCATTGATGGGACTCACATTGGCATTCCAGGTCCCTTAAATGATGAATCGTTCTACAATAGGAAAGGTTTCCACTCCGTCTTGGCCCAAATAGTCTGCTCATTCGATTATGAGATAATTGATGTGTTTTGTGGTTTTCCCGGATCCTGCCACGACGCACGAATGTGGCATGAAAGTCCGTTAGGTTTGAAACTGCAAGAACATGCTGAAGAAATGCTGCCTGAGGACTCGCACATCTTGGGTGATTCAGCATACCCATGCACTCCCACGATGTTGGTGCCTTTCAAAAATGACGGGCACTTGACGGAACAACAGAAAAATTTCAATACAGTGTTAAGTTCAACAAGAGTTGTTGTTGAGCAAACCATAGGGTTGCTAAAGTGTCGTCTCCGCCGCCTTAGATACCTTCACATCTATAATTTAAGTTATGCAAAATTTATAATTACAGCTGCTTGCATTATTCATAATATTAGAGTAAAAGAGAGAAGCGATGGTAATGAAAATAATATTAATGATGGTGATGATAGCGATGTTGATGATAATGGTTATGATAGTGGACTTGATGGTATTAGCGACAATAGTGATGATGATGATTTACTGTATGATGATTTTCTTGCCGAAGAAGTGGCGAGGGACATCGGAGCAGACGCTAATGCGGTTCCAGGGGCGCCCTACGATAGAGATGCGGCAAGGGAGGCTGGCCAAGCGAGAAGACTAAGAATAATGCAAGGTTTGAACATGAACGGGAATTAGAATCATCCATTTTTTTTTTGGTCTTTTGAATGCTTTGTTATGCAGGTGTCACAGTTGGTCGAAAAAATAAATAAATAAAAACATATTCATAATAATGAGTGTCCAATTTAAAATTGTCAAGTGATTTCATTGTCAAAAATGCTTATTACCGTACCACAATCAGTTGCATTCGTGCTTGATACCATTAGGATGTAATAATTGAGGCCTTTGATGCTAAAAGGGCTTTTCTCGATTCAAGTTTCAGAATCTCAATCAACAAGCTTTTTATGTGACAAAACGAACCTTAATTTTTTATCAAATGCATCATGAGATTAGGAAGAACATTCAGTACAACTTCCAACATCACACACGCAATTTCTCCCCTTGGAGAGAGCAAAATGTCAAAGACGATTGTGAAACACTGAAACCAAGAAGTGTCCTTTTAGCACCCAACACTTCAATTGCAGAAAGAAATGTTTTGAGCTTTTTGTACCCTCTTTTTTGCCTCTGCTACATTGCTAAGAAAAAATTGAAATGACAATCTACTTTGGTGTCAAAGGAGTGAAAATTTAAGTCGTTTAGTACTTTCAAAATTTACTGTGAGTAAATGGAATGCATTTCGACTGTGAAAGTTCCAACTTCTCAATTTCTGCTAATTAACATTTCATTGCGTCTTCAAATTACTAAAGAAATAGTGAGAAATGGTATTGCTTAAAACGTCCACAAAATATTATCTTCATGTGGTGAAGAAGAACCAGGAGTAATTTAAAAGAATTGCGTTGGTTATTTTCCCTGTAAAAAAAAAAAGGTGACAACAAATTTATTTCCAACAATTCAAATTGAGATATTCGGACTTTCACAATCAAGGTATTAATTCTGCTTTTCAGTCACTGAAAAAATCAAATGAATAAGCCTGTATTGTAGGTGAAACAACATTTTATTAAAGTTATATATGAACTGAAGGGTAATGAAACATGAATACGAAAAAAATTAATTTTCTAATAATTAGAACTAAAGTTATGGCCAGTGGTGCGTAACTTTTGAATAACCCTGTATGTACTGAAAGGTAATGAAACAAAAGTACGAAAAAAATTAATTTTCTAATAAAAAAATAAAAGACAACTTAGTATTTACTAACATTTTATTAAAGTTATATGTACTGAAAGGTAATGAAACAAAAGTACGAACAAAATTAATTTTCTAATAAAAAAATAAAAGACAACTTAGTATTTACTAACATTTTATTAAAGTTATATGTACTGAAAGGTAATGAAACAAAAGAACGAAAAAAATTAATTTTGTAATAAAAAAATAAAAGACAACTTAGTATTTACTACAGCTCATCTAAGCTTGAGAATCACAAGAAATGAAGATAAAACTCGCGAACTTGCAATTTTTTCCTGTAATTCTATCGAGATTACAGAAAAATATTAAGATAAAAGACCTGAGATATTATTAAGAACACAAATCTCACCTTAGAAAATTGATATGCTTAATACTGAAAAACAAGTTCAAAAACAGTGACATTTATTAAACCGTTAGAAATGGAAATGGAATAAAATGAATAGAAAATGAATGGAATAAATAGAAATGGAACAAACTCTACTCACTATATTTTTCTGTTACCGCCAGATGCATTTCAGCGATCGCCTTCTCCTTCGATGGAGATATAAACAAAAAAATTTGGTAAGTGCAGTTCGTTCAATTCCGATGACTTAATAAGTACTACGTTTACTTATGACTCAATGGTCATGCAAGTAAAAAATTCTAAACTAATAATCGTAAGTAAAAAAATTAATTTTCTAATAAAAAAATAAAAGACAACTTAGTATTTACTACAGCTCATCTAAGGTTGAAAGAAAAAACTCGCAAACTAGCAAATTATTTCATGTAATTCTATCGAGATCACAGAAAAATATTAAGAAAAAACCTGAGATCTTATTAAGTACACAAATCTGACCTTAGAAAAATGCTATGCTTAATACTAAAAAACAAGTTCCAAAACAGTGATATTTATTAAACCATTTGGTAAATAGAAATGGAACAAACTCTACTCACTATATTTTTCTGTTATCGCCTTCTTCGGAGGAGGAGATATAAACAAAAAAATTTAGTAAGTGCAGTTCGTTCAATTCCGATGACTTAATAAATGCTACGTTTACTTATGACTCAATGGTCATGCGAGTAAAAAATTCTAAATGAATAATCATAAGTATTTAGCAATGACATATCCACTTTCAAGATTCCTTCTCATACTCTTTTTCTTTATTTACCAATAAAAAATTCCTATTTCTTTAATTTCATGGTGAACTTTCTTCTCTTTCCGAGGAAAATTCCAGAAAATTTCAAAATAAAATATTGCTCAATTTTTTTCTGGTAAAAAAATTTCACATGAACTGAAATCTTGAAACGTGAGCTGCAGGTGCGTCTATCACAAAATGAAGTACATTAGTTTCTCACAGACCTGCTTCTATGAGTACGGGAACATTCCACCAAGGAACAACTTACTTAAATTTAAAAAGATATGCATCAAGTTGCACCAAAATAGGGTAAAAGAACAGAAGGTACATCTACAGAATGGAATAGAATAATTGAGAAATAATAAAGAAATGAGGAAAACTAAAGTAAGTAACACTACAGGTAAGGGGACACTAAATTGATATGTCGATAGCTGTCCTTGAAGGAGGGGTACAGATAGAAAATTCAAGCTAAAGAACACATTGATCATCTCAAAAATAAATCGTAAAATATGCTGAACATATGTATCACATAACAACTGATCGTATAGACTTACAATATGTCTTATTGGGATACTTTTCGATTGATTTGCGAGTCACTCAACGTGTCTTTTTGCATGAATCTTTCACTGATACCACTCCTTTAGGCAGGGTTTTTCGAATTTTTCAAAATATTAGAATGCTTCCTGAGTCCCATCCATTTTTGATTGATATTGCGATCAATAAATAGTTGCTTGGCGTCTCCTCGCCTGAGAGAGTCTCCATAGCTAAATGAAGTCCATTAATTTTTCACAGACAAGCTTATAAGAGAACCGGAACATTCCGCCAAGAAACAACTTATTTAAAGTTTAAAAAAGAAAAATGCCTGAAGTAGCACCAAAAAATGGTAGAAAAATTGAGAAAGAATGAAGAAATTGTCAAAACCAAAGTAAGGAAGATTTACGATGAGTCGCCTGTTTTGTTACGGACAAGCTTTTCCAAGAGCTCTAATTTCTTTTCTCTGTATTCTTTTTTCATTTGCTCCCTCGCTTCATCTCGCTCTTTTTTGGCCTCTAGCTTTCGCTTTTCCAATGCTAATTTTTCCGAGTAATAAACTTTGGAAGTCATAATGACCCGTTTTTTCTTCCCCTTTTGTTTTGAAGTTGAAGCATTAGGCTCAGGGTCATCTACATCTGAACAATCCTCACTCACTTTTTCAGAGCAAATATCAGTCGAGATACTATCTGGGTTCATGGAAGAGCCCAATAATTGGGGGGGGATGTTGATTTTGGCTTTTTTATGGAAAACTTCCTTAAATTCCTGATAATGCGGCCATTTGATCGCTTCTTCCCCAGTCCCGTTCGGGCCGGCTTTTGCCGCATTTCGCCTGTAGGTAGCATATAAATTTTTAAATTTTTCTTTGCAATCCTTATCTGTGAAAGTGTAACCTTTTTCTTTCATTTTGGCGGAGACTCTGTTCCACAGCGCTTTCTTACTGCACTTAGGCCGCACGAAATCTGGGTCCATGGACAGTCTTATATTGATGAGCAGCTTTGTTGGAGCCCAACTCCAAAGGACATTATTGTCAGGAATATTCTCATTACCAGTTACATCTGTCAGAACAGGAGTCGAAAGCTCGCCTGAAAACTCACCAACTTCCATTCCGGTAGAAGCGGAATCCGGGGAACCTGTAGGCTGCCTTACACCTGCAGACAGAATGAATAAAATTTAGAATAAAAATAGGGACACATTAATGACTTGAATAACAGAAGGGTGTTACAACTCCTTTTCTTACCTCAGTAAATTGAAAAAAAATGAACACTAATTGTATGTTATAAGGACCCTAGGAGACAAGTAAAATAAAAGATGCAGACAAATTTAACCAATGATAACCTGTTTCCTAACTGTCACTGCCAATAATTTAAGAAATGAGCTTTGAATCAATAAAATTGGCTGTGAGTGAACTAGGGAGTTTTAAGACTGATTGGATTGATATTAAAGTACCTATTGCAACCAAGATGGCCAAGGGCTGATGGAATCTCTGCACTCAAGTCAATTGAAATTTGACTTAAAAACTTTCAATGAAATAATAAATCAAGAAGTGGAAATAAAAATAAAACAAAGTTTACCTTCTTCAACTTGTTGTGAAGAGCCTTCCAAACTTTCTGCAAGCTCCCACCCAACAAGGGTACACGGTTTAAGGGCTCCACTTTTAACATTTTCGCAGACTAGCTGGATAGCATACTGCTTCTGCAGCTCAGGAGCTGTAAGATAGAAAGGTAACTTTAAGCGTATAAAAATAAAATTAAAAGAAGTCGGAAAGACATCCAATCAACTTAAACTTGCAGGCGTTAATTTTTTGCAGAACAAAATACAGAAATTACACGGAAAAACAGGTAGACATTTTGCAGAATTGTTTGAAAACCTGACACAAAATTAAATCAAATACTAAACATTGATTTATAGGGAACATTCAAGAAGATCAATCAAAGTCCAATTTTTGATTCAAATATTCAAACTAGAGCTTGTGTAAGTTTCCTAGAGTCAGAAGTGCTATTAAAGAATGGAAAAAAGAGAGGCGACAAAAATGTACCGTTGTTATTTGATCTATGATAACAAGAAATTTGCTATAGAATCAGAAAGTATTTATTTTCTTCGGATCCAATTTGCATGTATAATAGGTAATGATTTTCATGCCGTTAAAACCGGAAAATTAAAGTGCTTCAAATGAAGTCTGTTTGACTCTAAAATATTCGATCAGTCTTATGAATGTAGGAAACCCCCGACTCAAATATGTGATAGAATTAGAGAGAAAGATTAGAAATAGAGTTTTCCGAACTTAAAATCTCAATTTGAATTTGAGTCCAAACCTGTTCCTCCATATATCTTGGCATCAATTTAACTAAGTAATATGCCTACTATATTTGAATACACAGGTAGATCAACTTACAATTTTTTAATTTTGTGAACAGTTCATGTTCGACAATTTTCCATTGAATTTCCACCCCTATAGTGGTTTGGACTTTCAACATTTTGACCTGCAAGTAAAGAGAACAGTTCATTAAGACGTTGTTAATTTAAATAAAACCTTTTCCAAACAAAATGAGTTCAGCAAACTTGGGTTTCAGCAAATCAGGATTCAGCTTTACCAAGAGTTCAAACCTCATTAGCTCAAAACAAGTTTGGCCAAAAAGTACAGCTAAATCGGTCCGTCCGAACAAGGACTGAAGTTCATTAACTAAATAATTTTCTCTGCAGCTTCAGCACAAATATATTCAATACAACCTCACCAAGTTTATTTGTATTTGGGACATTAACACGCTATGAATATTTTAGTATAGGTCACAGAAAAATGGTATTACAAAAAAGGAACCATCGAAACAATTGATTACAAGCTCTAGCCTTCGTCTAAAAATTCCCCAGCCGAGTAGTAAGGCTTACCCGGTGAAAACTACCTTTTGGCAAACGTATGAAGGCATTCTATACCTTTAATATTCTTTGGCAGCTTGATGAACACATTAGCAGTCATTGTAAGTGTTATTTCCATTTAAACGTAATTGTACAAAGGGACTTCTGGATGTCATTCCCATCCCACATGAGTAATAAAGTATAGGTGTGCTTCTTAAGATGGGACAAAATCAATGGCTTCATCTCTAGCTAGTTTCACCATTTCAGATGTAGGTGGACACAACTGTCGTGATTTTGTGTTTGATGAAATGGTCCTGACACGGCTGCCTTTACATTAGATGCACATGGCCCTAAGGACCCCCTTTTCATGGCATCCTCAATTTCACTCGCACTTTCCCAAGCTAGTATGTTGCAGCTCGAGTGAAAGAAAAGGTGAGGATTCTTCGGAGAGGCCTTGAGCATTTTCAACTCACTTCTCATTGAATCTGTGAGACCGATTCTACTTCGCTGAATAGAGTCGAAAACAGAAACCTGACATCAGCTTTCAGACTTAGGAAGTTGAGCTCAGATGATCACAGTAACTTTCTAGCATTTATACCGTAACTATTGAAAAATAAAACTAAAACTCGAAAGGATACTTAAGTATTATTAATATAGATGCAAAATAAGATGATCAAAACACTTACCACTGGAAGTAATGCTGACAATTATGGCGGAATTCTAACGATGAGATGAACTTTTTGAGGTTAGTCACCGCGAGTCACGCGTAAATCCATCTCCCGAGGTGGGTTGATCGGATGCAAGTGGATGAAAAAGTAATGACGTCATGAGTCAATCACTCCGAGTTCCAAGAACGCTTGGATGCATCACCCCGAGTGGAACATGGATGGAATCACGGGACCTAGGAACGCTTGGATGGATTCGGATTGAATCGCTACACAAAAAGATGAATTCTAGAACGCACCCTAGTATGAAGTATTCCTCTGAATAAACTTTATACAGAAAAGAGATGAGAGGGGTTTAAGAACTAAACATCCTGGCTTCAAGTTACATCATTCGCTATTCTTGCACTCATCTAATGAAAGCAAGGAGTAAAAGAAGATAACCACCAGCAGAAATTTCTTGGTTAGATAAGTGTAGTTAGATTAAAGTTTATCATTGGTGTAGAGGCAGGGTTCTCTGAAAGTGAATCTCAGCAAAAGGAGTGTAATTAAAAGTGAATGAATACATACAATTGAGAAACTCACCGAAAGTGAAGAAAATATCCAGTATGTTCACAGCCCACTCCGAACACTGCATGATTAGGATGCTTATCGAACAAACGGCAGGAATTAAAACCATAATGTTAAAATGAAAAAGTTTCCTCTTAAGTTAGGATTAGGGGAGGATTGCATCGGCAGAAACATGTGTACGCGATTTCCGTCAAACATCCTCTCACAAAGATAGCGACCGGATTCGGGACAGCGATAAACTTCAAAACTCGTCGAATATATATTTGAAAATCAGATAACAGTTTGCTAAACTCCTAAGGCCTTGTCTCCACGGCGCAACTGTTGAAGGAAGTTGGCGCAACTGTTGAAGGAACGGAACTGTCTCACAAATGTTTCACTTATAACAGAAACTTTCAAGGTCAGAAGCCTCGAACGTGGAACAGTTGTTTACCTTTTACGTCTGATTTAACCTCAAATAAACGATTGAGTGAGTGCTTATCCCACGATTTAGCTTT